GCACATGCTAGAAAAAGGAAAAAAGAATAGGAGGCAATCCAAAGAGTTGCTTCGTTTGGCCTGGGATCTAAACGATTGTGCTGGGAGTGGAAGCCAAAATAATAGAGCTTTTAGAAGAAAATCTATGGAAACGTAGGATTGATCTCTTGGAATGTTCATGGGCTAGGCTCAAGTAGAAGGAGATTGGTGGTGGGAAACTTTTTAAGGAAAGGAAGCCCGACATGCAGTTGCTGCAGGAAACTAAACTTTAAAAGTTTGATACTGAGAAGTGTGGGGTTTTGGTCCTTGCAATTGGCTAACCATTCTGGTGGTCAACACAACAGGTGGGATAGCTCTAATTTGGCTCCCTCTCAACTTTTCTTTTGTGGTGTCAGGAGTGACTCCAACCTAAATAAGTTTTTTAGGAGGAACTAGATTGGGTGAGAAGAAAATGGAGTAGGCCTTGGTTAATTGGTGGAGATTTCAATGCTATTCTCAAGATGGGAGACAAAAAGGTTTGCACAAGAACTGATAGGAGCATGAGGTTGCTGCTTTCTCCAATTTCATGCAAAATTAGGAATTAAATGATTTGCCTTTGGCTGGAGCTTCTTATACTTGGACCAACAATCAATAGCAGCCCTCTCTGGTAAGGCTAGAGAGATTTGTAAGTCTCTTCTGAGTGGAAAGACTTTTATCCCAATTCTATTCAAGAAGCCCTTCCAAGGCCAGTGTCAGACCATGTGACACTGCAGCTAGACACAAATGGCAATAAGAAGACATGTACAACCTTTCAGCTTGGAGCATTGCTGGTAGGGGGCGGAGGAGTTTGACTCCAACATAAAGAAGTGATGGTCAGAAGCTTCTTTTGATGAGATTAAATCATTAGAAAGCTAAATGCTTAAAGACTATTGTTGATTTGGATTTAGAAGAGGAAGTGGGACCTTTGTAGGAGGACCTCAGGCAAAAGAAGTTGCTTGCTATGAAGGATTATGATGTTTTGGCTTTTGAAGAGGAGGTTAAATAGAGGCAGAGGTTAAGAATTAACTGGTTGAAGGCATGTGACAACAATACTGCTTTCTTTCACAAAACTGCTAATGCAAGGAGAAGAGCCAATTCTATCAAGAGGTTATTTCTTGATGGGCAGGTGATTGAAGATGAAGGAAGTTGACAAGACCATTGTCAGTTTCTATGAGAACTAATACAAGGAGCCTTGTAAAGTTAGGCCAAAGTTAGATAGTTTGCATTTCCACCATCTTTTGGGACAAGAGGTGAAGCTTGAAAAACCCTTTACAAAGGATGAAGTCAAAAAATCTATGGACAATTTGGAAGGGGAGAAAGCCCCTGGACCTGATGGTTACACCATCTTGTTCTACAAAAAATACTGGGAAATCATTAAACAAGATTTACTTTAAGTATTGGAGGAATTTCACAATTCAACTACTCTAGAAAGAAGCTTCAATGTAACTTTTGTTTCCTTAATTCCCAAAAAGAGTCGAGCTATAGAGCTAAAGGATTTCAGGCCCATCAGCTTGATTGGAAGTTGTATGTACAAGATTTTAGCTAGAGTGCTGGCCACAAGGCTAATGAGGGTTATGAGCTCTGTCATTTCTATTTATCAAGGTGCTTTTGTTTGCAACAAGCATATTCATGACTGCGTTCTTATAGACAATGAGCTTATCAATTCAAGATCAAGGAATGGTAGGAGTGGGTAGGTGTAAAATCGATATAGAGAAGGTTTATGACCAAGTAAACCGGGCTTTTCCAGATTACATGCTAGATAGATTGCATTTTGGCCAGAAGTGGAGAAACTGGACGAAAGTGTGTCACTATTCCTAGTTTTTCAATCCTTGTTAATGGGGCAACCAAAGGCAAGTTCAAAAGCTCAAGGGGGGCTTAGACAAGGTGACCCACCATCACCCTTACTGTTTTTGATAGTCATGGGGGCTTGAGCAAAATGGCACCGAAAACCTCAAAACTGGGTATGGTTGTAGGCTTTGAGGTTTGTCTTGGTGGATCAAAGGTCACTTCGCTGCAGTTACCCACGACACACTCTTTTTTTGTGAGGCTTCAGCGGACCAGGTTCTTAATCTTTTTCCCTTTTATTTTTTGATCAGCAACACAGAAAAAATATTTCATTAATTAGAAGAAAACAGAATTACAACAAGATGTTGTGAAAGAAAACCAGCTTTAGAAGCTGTCCCAACAAAAGATTACATTTTAACCCAAAACATGTGTTCTATGTACCCCTTGCTTGGCTAAGCTATCTGCCAAGCTGTTGGCAGTTCTCCTCACCCATCTCACTCCAATTGACATGTCCTATGACAACCATTTGAATCTTCTGAAATCATTCCTCAAATGCCATGCCACCCCCTCCCCCTTAAACAGCAACTTAACCACAGTTTTCTAGTCTTCCTCAACAATCAGCCTACCAATACCAAATTCTTTTGCCTTCTCAACCCCATAAACTGCAGCCAAAAACTCTGATCTTGCCACATCACCTTGGTCCACAGGGCCAAGTCTCAACAGATCTTTGTCTTGTAGTTGAGGATGCAGCAATAACACCCCAAGCTCTAAAGAAATCTTAAATCTTGAAATCTGAGAACAGCTTCAAACTCTTTGCCCAATGTGCCACTCTCAAGGTTATTGTTTCTACCAAGGCTTCCTTGCTTCTTTCCTTTTCTTCAAACATTCTTGCATTTCTTTCCTCCCATACAGTCCAAAGTAGTGCTGCTCTTGTGCAGCCTACCAGGTTCTTAATCTTCAGTTCTTGCTCTGCTGGCTTGAAGTGCTTTCGGGTTTCAAAGTCGATGTTTCTAAAATTGAGATTTTACCAGTTGGGGAAGTTACTAAATTTGCAGGACTTGGCAGAAATTTTGGGGTGCAAAACAGATAGTTTCCCTTCTAAGCATCTGGGTCACTCCTTAGGGCAAAGTGTAATTCAAGCAATATTTGAAATCCTATTTTGGAGAAAACTGAGAGGAAATTGACTTCTTGGAAAGCTTGGAAAGCTAGATATCTTTCCAAAGGGGATAACTGGTTCTAGTAAAGAGTGTTCTGGCCAGCCTTCCCACTTTTTTCATGTCTCTCATTTTAATGTCCTCTGAGGTGGCACTAAAAATAGAAAAAAAAAAAAAAAGACGAGGGATTTTATGTGGCTAGGGTAGAAGGATTCCTCTAAATACCATCTGCTGAACTGGGATGAGATCGGTAAACCTATCTTTGGATGAGGGTTGGGGATTAGAAAGGTGAAACTGTTTAATTAAGCACTTTAAGGGAGCTCGTTAAAGATATTCTCTAATGAACCTCAAGAATTATGGAGAGTTTTAATTGCTGAAAAATAGGATTTCAATGATAATGGGTGGGACACAGATGGCTCGCTTCTGCCTTATGGGTGCAGCTTTTGGAAAGGCATTTACAGAGCTTACCCTCATTTCATCAAGGGCATTTCTTATAAAGTTGAAAATGGAAGAACACTGAGGTTTTGGTTGGACCCTTGGTGTGGTGATATTGCTTTAAAAGAAATGGTTCCTTCTTTGTTTGCTGTGGCTGAAGATATTGAAATTTTTATTGCTGATTGCCTTGAACAGGAGGGTGATAGATTAGTCCGGTCCCCTGTTTTTAGAAGAAATTTTAATGATTACTTCAGAATCAGCACCCAGATCTGCAATCTGAGGATTCTAGATGCTGGAAATGGGCAAAATTGGGTAGCTTTTCAGTCAGACCTTTCTACCCGAGGCTCATTGGAGATGAACAGTAGCCTTTTTCCTTTCAAGGCCATTTGGAAAGTAATAACTCCCCTTAAAGTTAAGTTCTACTTATGAGTGGTTGCAAAAGAGAAGTGCCTCACCAAGGAAATGTTATTGAGAAGAGGTTTCACCTTGCCAGACTTGCTCTGTCCTTTGGTGCAATTTGCAAATTGAGTCTTCAAATCACCTATTCATTTTGTAACTTCACTTCATGGCAGTCGTGTGGCGGCAGTTTCTCAGAGCAATTAATCTTGGCTGGTGCTGGCTGGAACCAGAGTCAATTTCCTCTTTGTTATCTGGGTGAAGAATCCCAAGAAGGTCCAAAGAAGGAAAGCAAGTGTTATCTGTTATTCCCTCTGCAGTTTTGTAGGCAATCTGGTTGGAAAGAAACAATAGGGTCTTTGAGCAAAATGCTAAGTCTGGGGTAATTAACTTCATAGTGGAAGAGTTTAGGAGCGGGTTGTCTTTGTCTGATGCTTTAGATGTTTTTTGTGCTAGTTCTTTTTTTGAGGGTGGACTATTTTGGGAGGTCATAATCCTGGCCTTTTTTGTATAGCCTCTCTTTGTACAGGACCTTGTACTGTTGATATTAATACAATACCTTACCTCTTAAAAGAAAATGTGATTCAAATCAGTTCAATTAAGAATTAGTTCACTACTTTGTCATTTTGTTTTGTTTATATTTAGTTTTGCCAAGGGTGACTTCATTTAAAGGCCTTCTAAAATTGATTTATTTATGTTATTTAAGGCCCTATATTGAGTTTACTTTCTATCATATGTTCGATAAAGAGCCATTATATGTGCATTATTTGACTGTCAAGCCAAGCTTGATTATATCATCTTAAACTTGTATTGTAAAAGTGGTAAAATTCTATTGGTTTAGGTACAGATATGGTAGATATGACTTAAAAATCGGGTAGGACATTTCATATATATTTAGCATTTTAGCATTATCTATATTTAACTTTTTGACAAATTTGTAAAAAATAGAAATTATCTTACAGTTCACAATTTGGTTTGATTCAACCTTCTCTATGATTTACAATACGATTACGATTTTCAGAACATTGTGCATAATATATACTGCATAAGACATTTTTATGTGCATTATGTGCATTTAAAAGGAAACAAACATAGACACATCCACAAGTGTCTAACCCTGTGTTTGAACATCATATTTATATCAGCATGTACTGTATAACTTTTGCCCAGAAGCCTCTGGCACATATTTGTACCCTTAGTGTGCCAGTAGGTACTGTGACATTTAAATGATACCTGAGATGGATCAAGAGTAAGCATTCTTTCAAGCAACTCCAAAGCATGGCGGTCAAAACTGGAAAGCCAAAAAAGAAAAACAACTGTCTCAAGGTCTTTTTGTAGTGAAAGATAAGTATAGAATCTTACATAATTTGACAAAAAATCAGATTCTGGCAATCATTTGCTAATACTAAAGATTTCCATACTTACTGTCTGAAAACTTCCCTAAGACGTCTCTTCATTGGCCTAGTTGGCTTGAAATTGTTATACCAAGGAATCTTGGAAACTCCAGGCCAATTGACCTCATCGGGGGCTCCACATAACTCAAATATCTTATTCAATTGCTCTGGCTACAGTAAGGATGAAAAGATTTTGAACCCAGTTCAGAGACTTCTGATCAATTATAATATATACCAGCAAACTAAGAGAAGGTAAAAGACACAAAGAAAATGAAAATTTTGAGACAAAATAATTACTGGCAGAAGTAATGCAAATAAGTGCACATATTTTCATGAGATCTTTCTACAATACTTGATAACTTATTCAGGAAAAGAAAATTTATGGTGTAAACATATTAGCATATGAACATCAGCATCCAAAATATTATTTAGAAACAAAAACTGTGCAAATATGAAATTTTCAGGAAGAACCGCTTTGTCGTAAACTAAGAAATTTTTATTTTCTTCAAATTCGGAGGAAGTATGGGGTGGTTTGGTGACGAGGGCACTACCTAGACCTATGTTGGATCATTGTCCAGTTAGACTATCTCAAGAAAGACTAGGAGGAGGGCCTTGCCCCTTCAGATTTGAAAACATGTGGTTGTTATATCCAGACTTTCAAAAGAAAGTGAAAGAATGGTGGGAAGAGGATCAGGTGGAGTTTAGATGGAAGGGATATAGATTTTATAAGAAGCTACAAAATCTAAAAGCCAGGATCAAAGCTTGGAACAAAGAAGAGTTTGGTAGAATTGAAGACAGAAAGGAGGCTATTAGTAAAAGGATTCAAGAACTTGATGTTGCTGAGGCAGAGAGAGGATTGAGGTGTGAAGAAAGGAGATATACAAAATTTTTCTATAGCTTGGCTAGTGGAATAAAGAAGAAGAACATAGTGGAAAGTTTGGAATGGAATGGGGCAATGCTGACAAGAGAGGAAGAGATTGCAAAAGCTTTTGTGGAGCATTTTAAATCCATTTATGACAGCCCCAGTAGAGTAAGAGAGACTCCAACCGACTTCGAGTGGCATGTTGGAGAAAGGGAATTGTTGGAACCCCTAGAAAGATCGTTTGAGGTTCAAGAAATAAAAGAGGCAGCTTTCTCTATGGAAAGATCAAAAGCCCCGGGCTCGGATGGATTCACTATGCCTTTTTATTAAGACTGCTGGACATCTTAGGTAATGACCTAGTAGAGGTCTTCTTGGAATTCTTTGAAAGAGGAAAAATAAATGTGGGTGCAAGTGCTACTTTCATAGCTTTGATCCCTAAGAAGGTGCCTACAATTCAGCCCAAGGACTTTAGACCGATCAGTCTGATTGGGAATTTGTATAAGATCATTTCTAAAGTTCTTGCACTAAGACTCAAGAAAGTCCTTCCTTCCTTAATCTCACCGAATCAAGGGGCCTTTGTGAAAGGGAGACAAATTATTGATCATATTTTAATAGCCAATGAATGTGTGGATTACAAAAAAAAAAAAGAAAAGGAGAAAAGGGCCTGATCTGTAAACTTGACTTAGAAAAAGCTTATGATTTGGTGGATTGGGATTTCTTGCTAGAAGTGCTGAAGAATAGAGGCTTTGAGGAGAGATGGTGTAAGTGGATGAAGGGTTGTATTACCTTTTGTCACTTCTCAATCTTGGTGAATAGAGTAGCTAGGGATTCCTGCAAAGAGGGGCCTTAGACAAGGAGACCCTTTGTCACCTTTCCTCTGCATCTTAGTAGTGGATGTCCTAAGTGTCTTGATTTATAGGGCTGATTCAAGAAATCTACTAAAAGGTTGGAGAGTTGGGAGGCAACAAGTGATTGTCACTCACCTACAATTTGTGGATGATATCATTCTCTTTTGTTAAGGGGAAATTGAGGAGATGGATAATTTGAGATTGGGGGTGATGCATTTTGAGAGTCTCCAATGATCCAATCTAAAAGTCAATTGGGACAAGAGTTGTGTAGCAGGGGTAAATTTACAGGATGATGAAGTATAGTTGGTGGCTAGGGCTTTAGGTTGCGAGGTAAGTGGTTGGCCTCTGGTATATTTAGGTTTGCCCCTGGGGGGGAATCCTAGAACAGAAAACTTTTGGTACCCAATTTTAGAAAGATTCACTAAGAAGCTAGCAGGGTGAAAGAGAAATTATATCTCACTAGGGGGTATCAAGTCCACTCTGGCCAACCTTCCGATGTATTTTCTGTCTACCTTTAAGCTTCCTGCCAAGGTTGCCAATAAGTTAGAAAAGCTCATGAGAGATTTACTGTGGGAACCGGGTGACTCAAAAAAATGACCATTTAGTGAAGTGGGAAGTAGTTTCTAGGAAGAAGTAAGCGAGGGGTCTAGGCATCAGTGCAGAGTTAATTTACCAGTCATTACTAGGATTACTATTTAATGGATTCTTTGTATTACTAGGATTACTTAAGAGTCAATTTCTTGCTTGTTTGCCTGCACTCTGTTTGTGTGTAGGATGATAGTTCAGAAACTGGGCTATAATTCTTAACTAAGAAACTTTTGTTAAATGTGATTAATCAATACCATATGGTAAAGATGAGAGACAGAGAGAGATCCCTGTGATGAAAAGGGAAGACCTGTGAGAGTTGCTGTTGTCCTTTGTAAGAGAAGGTTGGGGATAGGAACCAGCTGGATTCATGCGTTTCAATGTTGCTACTGTTGATATTATATGTTTTGGCTTCCTCCTCTTATTCAGACTTGGAAGAAAAAGGCTAGTTTTTCATGTTCCACATGACTTAGCTGATAAAATTTGGAATTTCAGAACAGGATGGCTGCAAAAGGAGAATAGTAACCTTTGGAAATTTACTAATGAGAAAAGGGAGTTTGAATGGGTAACTCAGGGAATAGAGATTCAGCTTCAATGGGTGAAAACAATTTCTAATTCCTTTGCAGAAGCTCTGGCTAAACAAGGGGTGGGAAGGGAACAATTATTTTGGGCAATGTTGTAATTGTTTTCTGTTTTCTTGGGGATGGTTAAGAGATTTTCTCTCCCCTTTGCTTCCCTTGTAATTACTTTTCCTCTAATTAATAAAATGTTGCTGTCAATGATCAGAAAAAAGGTTGGAATTTCAGAGGACTCATGTGCTTCCTTTTGGAAAAGGGAGAAAAGGAGATAAGAGGCCTGCTTATGGAACAAATTAAGTGTATCCTTAAATACATAAAATAAGGCACAACCTACATGCAGTATGGAACAACAACTAGACTGATTAAATGATCATATATTGGAGAAAGTCCATCTTGAATCTCAGTGCTCCAGGCCTTGGGGTACAGAGGTGAGGTTTGCTCTGCATCAGTGATTCTTGAAGCATGTACTTATCTTATGGTTGTCAGTTTTGTGCAATCATTTATCCACTACACATGATTCTCTTTGAATGGAGAAGTTTTATGGTTTATATCACATTAATTATATTTCTTTGATCATAGAAGGAACAAGTTCATCTCATATCCACCATTCTTAAAACTTCAAGAAACCCACATGAATTGAGGAGAATGAGTGCCCCACCTCATCTTTCCCAGGAAAGATTGGTTTTCCATGCAGAAGTTCTGCGAATATACAACCAACAGACCACATGTCAACAGCTGGGCCATACTTTGTGGTCCCAAGCAGCAACTCAGGAGGCCTGATCAAATCATTATGAATACAAAATAGCATTAGTTTAAAAGATATGTAATGGTGAATATTTACAGAAACAAATAGTAGATTATTAAATCTATATTCTGCATAACAGTGTACACAAAGTAGAATTATTTACCTATACCATAAAGTAATGACACGATTTGTAAGATGTCCATTATGGTCATTGGAGAATGACCGTGCAAGGCCAAAATCTGCAAGCTTCAGATTTCCCTCATTGTCTATCAGTAGATTAGAGCCTGCAGAAACAGATGCATTAAAAACATCAAACAATCTGTAAAAGGTTAATATGCATATCCAACAAATGATAACATTTGGGCAAGTTTCAACCTTTGATGTCCCGATGAAGTACTTGATTAACATGACAGTAATGAAGTCCAGTTAACAGCTGCCTCATATAGCACTGATAAGAAAATTCATCACTAAATCATTACTATCAGGTGAATGCCAATTAGTTAAGATGACAATTCTTAAATCTATATGGAATTGTGATACCTTGATCTGGGGAACTGAAAATCGCATCCCAGGACGATCAGAAAGACCAGTCAAATCATGGTCCATGTACTCAAAAACCATGTAGATCCCACCTTTGTACTTATTGCCATCTGTATTCAAGAAAACATGATTAACATCAGGGAAGTTCATCCTTTAAAGATAACAAAAAGCATTATACAATATATACTTCAAATTCAAGCAAACATGTATACAATATATACAATATAAAAGTGTAATAATGAGTAACTATATAATTGACTAAATTATTGATCAATGAGAAGCAAAACTATGATGGCATTCATTAATCTAGCCAAGCCAACTGAATTACATGTAATATTGAACTACTAACCTGATCTACCTTGCTCATCCTTTTCAGGACCTAGAAAACAAACCTAAAATTTATAAGAGAGTAAAATAGATCACATAAATGAGGCATTTCTTGTGTAGAAAGATTAATAAGTATCCAGTCAATACGAAAGATGAAAAACAAGAATTACCCTGAGAAGTAACAATCTCCTTCAACTTAATTACATTTTCATGATGCAGCTTCTTTAGAATCTTAATTTCACGTATGGCAGTAATTGGAAACTGCATAATCAAAGTGAATTATCATATTCATTCCAAAAGAAAAGATGCATAAAAGTAAGAATTTCATAACTGTCCTCTGCAAAAATCAACAAGGGGGTGGAACTGTGGTAAAAGCATACACCCTCTCTTTCATTATCCATTCGAATCTTTTTCAATGCAACAATCTCCCCTGTATTGATTTCCCTAGCCATGTAGACTTGACTGCAAGCACAAAAACAAAATAAAAAGTCATTCGAGGTTCTTCCAGGTTCATCAACAACCAGGTAATATTTATAATTATTTCCAAAAGTGCATTTTTAAGAGATTTAGGCAGTACCCCAAAATGGGAAGCTATATTCTTATGAAACAGATCAAATTAAATATAAATATATATTTCTACATGCAAACAGAAGGAATGCAAACTTCAGAAACTAGTGTAAAAAATCTCTCATATTTCTTTAAGGTGCCTCAAGTATAGTTGAATTGTTCTTTCAATGTTTCCAATTAGAAATTTCAGCATACATGGGGGAATGGAAGACAAAGCAGTGCACACAAAAACCAGTACTCTCACTGATTAGAAATCCAATTTTACAAGAAACAAAGTTTCTTATTCTCTATTTTCCAAATTGGAAAATGACTATCGTAAAGAAATATCCTACACATCAGGGAGATGTTCTAAAGAAAAGGCTAGCTTATCTATTATAATGACCAAGACAATGATGTAAAATTAGATAAATGACACTTCCCAGTAAGATCATATAAAGTGAAAACTATTTGTGGCAAGAACCTTGAGGGATCGCTCATTATTCTTAGTGAATACTCTTGGCATGGATTATGCTTCCTTGGAGAAAAGGAGAAGATGGTACAATAGAATGATGGATGGTGGATATATATAGTATACCATGCTTTGTGAAGGATTCTACTTTTCCCTCATTTTTCTGGCATCTAAGGAATGTTAATACATATTTCTAAAATGAAAGACCATATGCTGTTAACTAGTTAACGAAACATAACATCAATTGAGAAACTGCATCACTTCAAACCAAAATATGATGTTTAAAGGAACAGCTAACACAACAAAATAAACGGAATAAGAACTGGAAATCCTACCTTCTACTTCCAGCTAGAGGAAAATCCAAAAAAAAAAACTAGAAAAACTCCATTACGTTCATATTATGGGCAAATCATCTCTCATAGTCAGACCAATTGATGGAAACCATAATCATAAACACATCCAAATATGGGACACACGATTTTAGCAGACAAAATAGACAACGAGCTCTACTAAGACAAGTAAATAAGTAAACACATGGACTTTGTTGCTTGCCCTCTAATTTTCCAACTTACCCATATGTTCCTTCACCAATCTGTTCCAACTTCTCGAAACAGTCAACGCTTCGAGATCCCCACGAGGGGGACTCATTGAGATTGAGCTGCCCAGGGGCTGCCACAGACATCGAAATCACCTTTTTTCCGCACTATAATCGCCAACTATCACAAACAAACAAAATTGAATACACAAACGATTAACGAAGTTCCTAAGCGCAAGAGAAAGCCCAGTGTAGAAACCGTTAATCGAAAAGGGGATTGAATAATTCAAGAATAATAACAATACCCAGAAGAAGATTAGAAAGGAAAAATTAGAGAGAAACTAAACGAAGAGAAATACAGATAAAACAAGGGAGGAATTAGGGTTTATGTGAGACGCATAAGAGAAGACTTACCGGCTCAGCTACAGATAAACGGGCCCAACAGAGTCCCAACAATCCATTGCAGCCTTATATTGGAAACTTCTCGCAATGAATGACAAGGAAGATTGTTACCAATGTGTGGCTGCAGTATCTGTTGGGACAGTTTTGGGAGCGTTATGTTGTCAGCATATCTCTATCCACTTTTAGGGGTTAAGCAGAAGAGAAGCGTTAATTTTTACTTCGAGATTTTAGAAGTTTGATGGAGAATTTTTACGCTAAAATTATTACTTTCTGTTAGTAATTAGGTACGTGCATTGTAGGTGAAAAACTTTTCTTGATATTAATTACTTTAATTTTATATATAACATAGTGGAGATGGAAATTAAAAATTTACAAAAATAATAATATAATTAAAAATAAACTTAAATGTTTGTAGCAAATGTGCGCATGTGAAAATTTTAAATTATAATAACAAATTATTATTATTATAATTAAATTTGTATCCCATTTCTTTTATAAATAAAAATAATTTTATTTTAATAATTATTTTTAATTAATATGATGAATATATAAAATTATAAATGTTCTCAAATGTTTTCAACAAAATTTTATATTTTTTAACTTTGTGTTTTATATTTTTCTAAATATTTTTTATTCAATTATAACTTCATGAGTCTTTTGAAAAGTTGGATCATTGACCCACCATCTAGGTAAGAAAATAGCTTCGCTTTTGAATCAATTTTAAATTATATATTTCATTTACCTTATATAAATAATTTTTAATTATCACACTTAATTTTTGTTTGACATAATTAATATATAATTTTTTATATATTCTTTTGATTATTTATATTTTTTAATGATTTAATATTTAACCATCATATCATTGATTAATCCATTTGACCCAAACCAATAACCCACCACTCAAAAAAGGAAAATATTTTGATTTCTAGGCTGACATTAAATTTTATATTACATTTTCATCATTGATAAAATTATTTCTTATGTATAAAACTTATTTTTGTTTGATATAATGAATTTATAATATTAGAGATTTACCCAATATTTTATTTTTATAAACATATAGCATTAGATATGTGTCCAAAATTTTCTCTATCTTTTTTATTTTTGTGATTCTTTGTTTTCTATTTTTAAAATTTTATTATTTGACTATGACATCATTTAATTTCTAGGTTGATTTTTAATTTGGCATTCCATTTTCATGGTTAATAAAAATACTTCTTACATTACATACTTATGTTGTTTAGTATAGTGAATATCCAATATTAGAGATATCCCCTTTTTTTGTATTGTATATTTTATTTATTTTAGTTTTTTATTATTTAATTATGGAATTGTTTATTAACCCATTTGACCCAAATGGTTGAATTGCTTACCCACCATTGGGAGGGAAAAAAGTGATTTTGTTTTTAAAGTACTTTTGACAATATTTATTTTTATACTATTAAAATTAATGCTATGAATTTAATGATGAGAAATAAATATCTTAAATATAGGATTTAATGAAAGAATATACCTTAGATATAAGATTTGATGAGAAAGAATAAGAAAATAGTTTTATTTCCAATTGGTTTTAATTTTATATTCCATTTTCATCATTAATAAAAGCATTTCTTATTTATCATACTTATCATAGTTTAACATGTCAAACATACAATGTTAAAAATGTTTTCATTTTTTATTTTTATATTGTTTGCATTTTATCTATTTTAATTTTGAATTTTATTATTTAATTGTGGCAACGTTGATTGACTCATTTGGCCCAAAATGGTGTAATTTCTTACCACTACCTAGATGAAAATACTATTTTTTTCTAGGTAGGTTTTGAAAGTATAAGTTTTTATGTTATTGGAATTATTATTTTATTATGTATGGACTTAATTAATTTAATTTAATGATGAGAAGAAACAAAAATGTTTTAAAATATGATTTAATGAAGTTGAATGCAATTTAATACCTTAAATGTTGAATTTAATGAGAGGGAATTGAATGCATTTAATATCTTAAAATTACATCTTTTTAACTCATTTAATATCAATAACCAATTACCCTATTCGCCCTCATTTTTATCAATAAATTTAAATATGGAGGGGTAAATTTTGTCCTCAAAAAATTCTAGAAATACTCTAGAGGCTATTCGTGCTTTTTAAAGTAGTATAGATTTAACTATATTGAGAAAGTTTTACTTTGTCCATCCTCATCCATCATCAAAGTTTTATGCCCCGTTTAGCATTACTCCAAATAATCATTTATGGTGATTCTTTTGGGCCCTGTTTGGTATCACTCTTCATAATTAATTTTGTTGATTCTAAGGATTCTTTAGATGAGAATTTTGTTTAGGACCATATATTTCATATTTCTCATTCGTTTTTAGATGAGAAATTCGCTCGAATGTGTGATTTTCATTCGTTTTGTATGAAAATCTTGTTTAGGACCTTCATCATCACCTGCTAGAAGCTCATCATAAGTCCCATTGTTAATGCCATCATTGTTGGCATCAATGGTTGGCTCATAGTCCAAATAGAACAGTTCACATTCTTCATTATGAACTTGCAAGATATGCTAGTTATTAGAATTGGTATAATTTGTCTATCAAACGATCAAAGAATTGATTCAAATAAATTGGTAATTTTATGGAATTAAATGGGCTTTATTTATGGGTTTTACAGTTATTTAATTGATTGGATCAATTATGGATATCATGCATGAGATGTATGAATGTGAGAGGTGCTACGTCCATGGGTCATAAGCACTTGGCCCATGTTGATTCGATAGTGGCTCTTGTTAAACAGTGTATGCCCTTAGCTCCAATCAGATTGGTGTACTTATGACATTTATTGCAAATGAATAAAATACATATTTGATTCATGTTATTGTGGTGTGTTTCTGTGTAATACCCTTAAACTGGACACATAATGAGACTCGTGTTAGTTTAGAATGTTCACAGTCGTTGGATAAGTCTGGGGAGATTTATCCTGCTAAGGCTGACATTGGTGTGCCCGTACCAGTCAGACTGCGCCATATCCCTTACTGACGGCGCAGTCTCAGTCCTTTCAGCAGTTTGCGTCCACGTCTCTCAGCAGGCAAAGGCGTGCCTGCCACTTTGGAAACATGTCACTCACCCGGGTGAGACGTACGCCACAACGGCCACCTGCGCAGCCCTGGCAGGTAATGGCTGTGGCAGGTGCCCAGTGGCGGTTATGCCCGACTTGATGTGTGTCCCTATAAAAGCACTACGAGCAGAAGAGAAATTTCTTCTTGAGACCTCTAATCCCTCAAGTATAGTGAGAACGCCCTATCTACACTCTTAGCCTTCGTCTCCTTCTTGCTTCTCCTACACAGTACTAACTTAAGCATCGGAGTATCCCCATCGGGTAAACTCCCCGGGGATTCTTCTTCTTCCTCATCTCAGGTACCTTTCGAGAGCTACGTGAGTGCCAACTAGGAGTGACTGGATCGCGCTACATCATTTGGCGCCGTCTGTGGGAAATGCTTTGAAAAGCCTTTCTCTAAACTTTCACATCTTTTTACTCTCCAAAAACTCAACGCTCATGGCTTCCTCTAGCAACATCGGACGAAGCGCGAAGATGAATAACTCCACGGAACAACCCCAGCTTCCTACTGTCTGTATCGGACAGTTCACCGTCCCCCTCTCAGCGGACGGGATCCCTAGTTTAAACGTGCCTCTTGCAGGGGCACCCGTCGTTGCTCCACTCCCTACCACAGTCGGAACAACCTTCATTGAACCCTCGGTTGTGCCCCCAGCGGCCAGCCCGAACCAGCTGGAAGATTTGGTGCAGTGCATGCGGGCCATGTAGGCTCAAATGCAACAATTTCAGCAGTTTCAGGTCTATCAACAGCACATGTTGCACCAGGTCTCTCAGTACCAGTATCAACAGCAATTTCCCCCGCTACCACAACCTCAGCTTCAGTAATCGCAACTCCCTCCTCGGCACCCAACCTCACAGCAGGCTAGGTCCCATCGTCAAGAGGAGCACCTTCCCCGCCAAGGAAAGGCCCCCCCGGAACCCTCCAAGGAGCCAGGCCTCCTCTCGCAGCAGATAGGAAAGGGTGGCCACTCCGGCCTCGCCACGGGAGGTCAGGTCGGAAGGACCCTAGCTCGCCAAGCCCACATCGTCTCAGCCCTCCAAGCCCGATACCCCGTTCTTAGAGAACCGGTTCGAGATCCTGGCCGCAGGCTCCAAGCAGGAGCCCTCTGTCCATAGCCATCACCAGCAGCTTGAGCTGCTTCCCGCACACACCGTTCCTAATAGTACAGAAGTCAGCAGCATGAATGTCGAGCCCGCCAAGAAGCAGAGACGACGCTGCCGAGCTCGCCGGTCTACCACCCACGACCTGTCCGAGCTCGAAGGCAAAGAAGTAAGCTCGGGTGAAGTCAAGGCCCCCATCCTTTCAGTTCAATCCCCCAATCTCCCGAGCTCCTGGCAGTCCCAATTCCTAAAGACTTTAAGCTCCCCCCTCTTGACAAGTACGACGGGTCGTTCGACCCAAACGATCACGTAGATGCCTTCCAATCGCAGATGCACCTGGCAAGAGCCAGCGAGTCGTTCATGTGCGTGGSCTTCTCCACCACATTTAGAGGAGCAGCCCGTACGTGGTACTGGAACCTGGCACCTGGGTCGATAAGAAGTTGGGCGTAGTTCGCACAAGCCTTCACATCCCACTTCGTTACCAGCAAGCGGTGTCCGCGAACTGAAGAGAGTCTCCTCAGCATAGTGCAAAGAGAGGAGAGTCCATCCGGGGCTACATCAAGCGGTTCAACGACGCTTGTATGAAGATACCGCGCCTGGACCCCACCGTGCACCTTGCAGCAGCCAAGAAAGGCGTGACGCATAAGGAGTTCAAGTGGCACATGGTCGTCAACCAACCAACGACCATAACCGAATTCCTTAAGCTMACAGACAGGTTTATAGCCACCGAAGAGGAGATCAACCAAAAGGG